CACCACCACCACAAGGCTGAGGCACTTGTGGAAGGTCACACAGCTAGTCATGAGGAGCCTGGGTGTGGATCCGGCGCACAGCTTTCTGAGCTGGGTGGAAAAAGCCACAGTTCAGGCTGCTCCTGACTCCTCCTTGAACCAGATTGTCTGTCACTAGGGGTAGCTCTTCTAGGGGCCGGGGGAACCCAGAACTCCAGGCTGTAGTTGGAGCACCTGCCCTCCATAGGGTGAGGGAATGGGGAGCGGAGCAGCCTGGGCAGAGCGGGGTGGTCTCTCCAGCACCTGGCTCTTTGGTGGCAGCAGCCATGTAGGCAACTAGGGCCTCTGACTGTCTGAGCCCTGCTTCCAGAAGCGCCTCAGGCCCCCTGCTGCCCCCGTGCATCTGCTCCCCATGCAGATCCCATGCCTCCTGGAGGAAAGCATGTGCTGAAAACTTCTGTGCAAATAAACATGTTGCATTTAAGATCTCATTGCCTCCACAGGCAGGAAGGCAGCCTCCACATCCCCTCTGAGGTGCCTCCTTGGAAGTGCTCACTCACCCCTGCTCCTCGCAGGGTCTCACAGACCCTCCTGGGATGGGTGGGCTGACAGTCCTTGCCCAGGCCACCATGGCATTGAGGCCCCTGTCATGGCTGAGGAGCTTTAGCTGCCAGCANCCCGCCCTCCATGGCCCCCTCCCTCCACTCGCTCTTTGCAGGGGTGTGTCCTGCCCTTGGGGCCAACAGTGAGTCAGGTGGCAAGTCCTGAGATCCTGGGAATAGGGTCTGCTTGGAGGAGAGCTGTGAACCTGGCCTAGGAGGATACAAGGGCTCAAACTGAAAGGAAGGAAGGCAAGAGCCAGGAGCCTTCCTCATGCAGGCAGGTCCCCCACTGTGTTTCACACGTGCCTGTCACCTCTCCACCTCCAGGTCCTTCCCAGTGACTGGACCTGCTGAGATATCACCTTGCCCTACTTGGGGTTTTGGGGCACAGGTTCCTCTGTCAGGCTGGGAACACACTCTTGGCCTCCTCCTCTCCCTGTCAATGTCTGCAGCCTCCCCTGCCTGCCTGTCAGAGCCTTGTTCCTCCCCGCCCTCACCTCCCCCTGCTGGCAAGGAGCCCCCACAGCACACCCAACGTGAGCCTCAGGGGCCTCCCTGGGGCCTGCCTTTCCATGAAGACAGAGCACCCGTCCCACAGGCTGCTCCTCTCCCGGACCCACCACCCAGCAGCCTTGGCAGGATGGCCCCCACCCCACCCCGCCCCTTGACTGGTGCACACGCATTCCCCAGACCGCTCTGGCCTTGACCTTTGAGCCACATCTCTCTGGGTCT